AAGATTTAGAAAAAAAGTCTTGTGTGGACATGCAAAGAAGTTCAATTATACAGTTCTTTAGAGTACAAAGTCAGTCAGAGATGTTTTTCTGTGGCATTAATAAGTGCCATCACATCCTTGAGTCCATACCAACCATGTTCAAATCCAGGCACATCTGCTGCGAAGTCCCAGCTTACGACTCCAAATTTCTGTGATTTTTCTGATGTAATAATAAGAAGAAGAATGAACAGTATGCTGCACTATACACATGGATGAAATGCACACATAAAGTGTTTGCAAATAACTCAGATCCCAGTGTGTCTCTGCAGAAATCAGTGGACAAATCCTTGCAGAATGACATATCTAAAAAACTGACCCATTTGCAGAAGGCATGAATAAATCAGAGACACGGAACACAAGTTAAAACAGAAACAACGCACCCCTGGTACTCCTTCCAAATGCTCTAGCCTACTGGTAGCTGGAGTGCAAGGAGAGAGGATAGAAATGAAACAAAAAGGTGTTTCAGTTTGGACCACTACTAATTAAGCAGTGTTAAGTGTGCCATGTCCTGAATGCCTTCCTCAGATAGACGTGTCTGCCCATCCAGGACAGTCAGGGGGAATCACACACTCTTGGATATGATGGGGTCAAGCCATCCCTAGAAACTCAGCAGTACCAGATCCTGGCACCAGTAGATCACCACTTCGTAAAAAATTGATCTCATGTAGCAAGATGGTGATCCTGCTCTTGAATTCCCAGAGCACAGCTGGGGGGGTATGGGCATCATGCCACCTGTGAGTGATGCAGGTGACAGCTGATCCAGCTGGTTTCATCAGCTGGCCTAAAGTGCACCTGGCATAAACCCAGCAATTACCAAGTTACAACAGCCACATCTTCTGAATATATTTGAACCTTCAGAGCTCTTACCAGAAGGTTGTCACATGCCATGGGGTTGCAGTATTTGTAACCTCCTATAAGGATCCCTAAAAACATGAGTTCCCCTATCATTGAAACACAGCATCCACTCTCACTCAGCTCTTTTTCTTCAGCAATAGGAACTCAGAACACTAGACCAAAGCATTAGTTTTGCTGTCAGAGGGCCATGAGGTTTGTTACTCGCATTCCTGGGTGTGGGTACAGGGCTCACACATCAATATTTATCTATGAGCACACAGGGTTTGACAGGAAAAGAGATTATGGAGATCCTTGCCCACATCATCTGTCTGGCTGCAGCAGCATGTCAGGTATTAAATCTAGGTATTAGTATATCCCTCATAAAATCACCAGTGATTGAGATCCCACCATCCCTCAAGACAGGCTAAACTAGTCCTAACTAGCTTCTCTATTAAAAGCTGAGGGTTTTTTTCCCAGTATATGGTCTCTTGTAGTACAATCTAAGGATGTTATTTCGTGTCCTGTTTATGTTGGATATAGCAAACGGCTTAAACTTTTCCTCTGTTACATATTTCGTGTATTCACATGTCGATGCCTCTCCTTAAACCTTCTCTAGCCTGAACAATCCCAGCTTTTCTAGTGTTTCCTTGTAGTTCATGTTTCTTCCTCCCCAGACAGTCACCTGCTATTTGGGATTTCCCTTGCACTTCCCATGGGTTTTGGTACATGGTAGCCATAACAGGATGTGGTGAACCCACAGTCTCTCCAGGACAGACCTGTTTACCTATAGCACAGGCTACTCGATACATGCAGCATCCAGTTTCTCTCATGTATCAAACATCATCTGGCCTTGATCTTCTGAATGCTTAAATAATTCACCCTGGATTCTACCCCAGAAGCAAAGAAAAGGTGTTTTCAGTTTCATCATAGAATCACAAAATGGTTTGGGTTGGAAAGGACCTTAAAGATCGTCTAGTTCCAACCTTCCTGCCATGGACAGGGACACCTTCCACTAGACCAGATTGCTCAAAGCTCCATCCAACCTGGTCTCAAACCCTTCCAGGGATGGGGGAGACACAGCTTCACTGGGCAACATCAGAACATCATTTACGCATCAAACTACTTATAACATCATGATAATTAGAATTTAATGAACTCCTGCCTTAGTTTTTCCAAACAAGTCCCCTTTCCAACTCCAGGGGTTGTTGGGGAAGGGACCCTTCATCGTAGAGGAGGCTGGGGAAAGAGGGAGAGACGAACACAACCTCCTGTCCACAACCCCCTCCACCAACCCCTGGCTCTCCCAAAAACATCAGGCTGGCCAAAGAAGAGCAAAACACCTTTCTGTCTGGCATCCCCTGAACCCCCATTGGCTCTGTTGTCCAAGCAGTATCACTATGGCAGTAAGACTTTTCAGTATCAAGAGACTGAAAGGTTGTAACTTGCCCTCTGCTTTGGGCTTTCCCTTCTGCTGGCACAGCATCCCTCTGTCCCTCTTCTCCGGCCCTGCCCTTTCTTCTCTGCCAGAGACCTTTTCCCTGCTCTCCCAGTCCCCAGCAGACAGAGCTACTTCACCCAGCTGCTCCTCTGAAGTCTGCAAAGGGCCAAAGCACCCCACAAAGGCAATAAACCTGTGCAGGCCGGATAAATGTGCTGAAGCCAATGGTATGATGTTTAACAAGACCAAGTGCCAGGTCCTGCACTTTGGCCACAACAACCCCATGCAGCGCTACAGGCTGGGGACAGAGTGGCTGTAGAGCAGCCAGACAGAAAGGGACCTGGGAGTTTGGATTGACAGGAAGCTGAACATGAACCAGCAGTGTGCCCAGGTGGCCAAGAAGGCCAATGACATCCTGGCCTGGATCAGGAACAGTGTGGCAGCAGGACCAGGGAAGTGATTCTTCCCCTGTACTCAGCTCTGGTGAGGACACACCTCAAGTACTGTGTCCAGTTCTGGGCCCCTCAGTTCAGGAAGGATATTCAGGTGCTGGAGCAAGTCCAAGGAAGGGCTATGAGGCTGGTGAAGGAACTGGAGTACAAGACCTATGAGGAGAGGTTGATGGAGCTGAGGCTGTTTAGCCTGGAGAAAAGGGGGCTCAGGGGAGACCTAATCACTCTCTACAACTACCCAAAAGGAGAGTGTAGTGAGGTGGGGGTTGGTCTTTTCTCCCAGGTAACCAGCAGTAGGACAAGAGGGCACAGTGTTAAGCTGTGCCAGAGAAGGTTTAGGTTAGACATTAGGAAGAAATTCTTTACAGAGAGAGTGATCAGACATTGGAATGGGCTGCCTGGAGAGGTGGTGAATTCACTGTCCTGGAGGTATTTAAGAAGAGACTGCATGTGGCACTGAGTGCCATGGTCTAGTAGACGAGGTGGTGTTAGGTCAAAGGTTGGACTTGATGATCTCAGAGATCTTTTCCAGCCTAGTTGATTTTGTGATTCTGTGTGACTAGGGAATGAGAGCTACTGTGGCTGAAGTTGTCCCCTGTTCAAAAGAGAAATGGCTATGCATAAAAGACCTTGCAGTGACCTGCAAAGTGCATTCAAAAGTACAACCAGAAACCAGTGAGAGACCACTAAACACATTATACCACATCTACTGGGATCAGTGAGCTCTAATCCAAAGAAGAAATCACCCTTCCAAGCCCCAGATCATGACTTGATCTGAGGCTTCTCCTGCTCCCTCTGGGCATACAGAGGGCTCATCTAGCAAATGGGAGCCTTTGAGCCACTCTGCCCCATAGCTTTGGAGACTGCTGGGTCTCTTCTGAGGAACAAAGCACAAGACATGCTCAAGGCACTAGACAAAAGGTGATGCTTGTGTGGAGATGCAAAGAAAAGAGTTGACAGGGATTGGGAAGACCAGGGACAACTCATAAAATATTTTGGCTGCTTTACTCTGAAGGCAGTGACTCCTAAGAAGAGCTCATCTTCCTCTGCAGCTCTGCGAGATTCATATGTCTGTGATGCATTTACACTGAGCTGTTGCTGGTATCAGCAAACAGTCCAGTGGCAACTCCAAGAGAAGTCCAGGAGAAATATGGCAAGTCCCATGTAAGAATGAGGAAGACAAAGACAGACACAAGGACAGTCAGAAAGGTGCTTCTCAGCTTAAAATCTATTCAGCAAACTTGAATCCATTCACTGGGAAAGCCATGGGAGCAAAGAGCAAGCAGGAAAACATGCATCAGTAGGGCACCGAAGTTTACGACTCCTTCACAAGTGAGCCATGAAAGCATTAACACATGTTTTTCTGCTCCATAAACCCCAGGAACCTCAGGTTTTTCCCTGGCAAACAGAGACTTTGTTTGCTTGCAGATAAGAGTCCCCATAATCGCAGGCAGTCAGACAGAGCTGCTCCTTTCCCACTGCTTCACAGAGAGTGATGAAAAACATGGGGAATAGCCAAGGGGGAAGACAGAGGAAGGAGAAGGAGAGAAAAATCAGGAAACATATTCAGCCACACAACCTGAACGCTGAAAGCACTGCAGAGAGGAGCTTGCTTGAGAGGCCAGTGCATGAGCAAGGATTAAAATCTCGTGTCTTTTTGGGTGCTCTAGGGCTGGAGCATTCATCTTTCAAGGGACAAACAGCTACAGCAGCCAAATTTGCATTGGCCTATAGCTTTTTCCCTTGGGTCTTTCAAGTATTTCTTTCCTTTCCCCGGCATCTACCCAGGTTTCTCCCACACAACCATCTTACAACGCAGGAAGAAGTTGTAAGACACGCTCGACGAGGTGGCAGCAGCGGCGACCGAGGTACGTCCGGGGATGAGGGTCAGGTCAGGCTGCACGGGGGAGTTCCCGAGCTCAGGGACACCCGAGCAGCAGCAGCGCAGAGCCTCGGCAGGGCCGGGAAGTTCACGGCAGCCGATCGGGCGAGGAGCGGGCGGGGCCGGGAGCGCCGCGGCGGTTTTAAACCGCTGCCGGGAGCGCGAGGGACCCGGGGCAGCGAGCGGGGGCTGCGCGGGGGATGCGCGGGGGATGCGCGGGGGATGCGCAGGGGATGCGCGGGGGATGCGCAGGGGATGCGCAGGGGATGCGCGGGGATGCGCGGGGGATGCGCGGGGAGTGCAGTTTGCTCCAGGGTTCGTGCGGCGATTTGCGCGGGGGGGTGGCGGGGAGGGAGTTGCGCGGGCGGGGAGCTGAGGCGCTGCAGCGCAGGCAGCTGGTTCAGCCTCAGAACTCATGTATAAATGTGGGCAGGGAGGGTGCAAAGAGGATGGATCCAGGCTCTTCTTGGTGGAGCAATAGGCAGCCGGCAGAAACCGATGCACAGGAAGCTTCACGAATATGAGGAAAAACTTCTTTACCGTGCGGGTGACCATGCACCAGAACAGACTGTCCAGGTAAGTTGTGGAGTCTCCCTCACTGGAGATATTCAAAAGCCATTTGGATGATATTCCGTGCAATGTGCTCTAGGATGACCTTGCTTGAGCAGGGAGGTTGGACCAGATGACCCACTGTGGTCTCATCCAACGTTACCCATTCTGTGATTCTGGATGCAGGCTCTTTCCAGATATTACAAACACATTTTGCAGTCCACTGCAAGAACAGAGTTGGGGGAAAAAAATTTACATAGGTGACAGGAGTCATGTGAGGGACATGGAGATGGTAATTTCACCTGCACCATGCACCTGCATGGCCAGCATGTCCTAAGAATCTTGATGGTGTAGGAAAGCAGGAGAAAGGAGTGATGCCCACTTTGCCCATGCCATTATTTCCAAGGGATTTGGAGAGAAAGCGAACCCCATGCTAGGGAGATTCCTTGAGCCTAAGCTGAGCCTCTCCAGCATCTGCAGCTCCTTAGCCTGGAAATTTCTTGTGCCATCCCACCACTCTCTAGAGCATCATTTCCTGTCCTTTCCCCTGGGACTCTTCCACAGCACCACACCAACAGAAGCAAAGGAATAAAAACAACCTCCTGGCAAGCTGCTGGTTGATCACAATCACCATGAGCTGCACACACATCTTGCCACTAGCCAAAAAAGATCAGCAAAGACCATCTCCTAAACCTGCATTTCTACCTTACAGAGTCTGCCCAAGGCTCTGGATCCCACTCCAGGATCCCTTTTATTTGACTATCATCTGCCTTCAGTTTCTCTTCAGGAAATTAATGAGATTTAACATAGGAAATGAAAAAGGATCAAATAAAGTAGAGATAGTCATAATCTCTGATAGAAGATATACCCTATATCTTTTATCCTGCAGATGATAATTATAATTTATCACTAAGGCTTTCAACAGTTTCTTTATAAGCCCTAATTATACCTTACTTCTCTGTGGAATCCCAGGGGGTACGTACAGCCTGGGACAAACGTGTGCAAAGCATGTCTCATGCACTGTTAAGCTGTTGGCTTGAGATGGAGAACACAGCCATTAGCAAAAAAACCAACAGGGCTTAACATGGGAAACAATGAACAGCAGTAGGTGTAGGAGGCGTTAACAAGAAATAACGGCTCCATTTTTTGCACTACACCTCTAACACGTAGTGGCTGTGGTTTCTAAAGATATGGAGGGGTTTCCACCAAGGTTCATGTCCTGTGTTTTGGAACATCCCACCACACTTTGAACAGACACAAATGATCAAGCCCTTTTCAAACAAATACTGCCAAAATCCTGCATCTATTAAAGTTGCGCAGGGACTTATTCCCATCACAGAGGACACGCAGCAGGAGCTGTGCTGGAAATAGGTGGTGTGTCCTGCTCAGTCATAGGTTTAGATTAGATATTAGGAAGAAATTCTTTCCTGTGAGGGTGGTGAAGCACTGGCACAGGTTGCCCAGAGAAGCTGTGGATGCCCCATTCCTGGAAGGGTTCAAGGCCAGGTTAGATGAGGCTTTGAGCAACCTGGTGTTCCAATCCACTTAGATGCAGAGGGGAACTAGGTTCTAAAACATTCCCATATTTGAGATTAAGGCACAAATGAGACCAGATGCTGGATCCCAAAATGATAATTCAACTTTTTGTAACACAAAAGAGCAGAGACAAAAAAGGAATATAGAAAAGTGGGGAAACCTAAGGGTAACTGTTAAAAGCACAGGGCAGGAGTTACCACCACCATGAAATGCTGCTGGCTTGCAAGCTGGTAGATCTCTCTCTGCTGGGCCTCTTCCCTTGTCGCCTTGTATCCTCCAAGGAATGAGCTGAACCGGCAGGGTAACAGAGTGGCAGCAGCTCCCGCAGCAATCCTCAAACAACCCCCCCAGCAGTCCCCAGGCACGGCCCTAAATACCCTCCTCGTGGTAGCCCCTGGGTGCCCACTGCTCAGTTCACCAGTATCCCAGCAAAGCTCGCCTGGTACCAAGACGGGCCCTGAGTGTCCATTGGCTGGTTCCCCAGTCTCCAAGTAAGATCTGCCTGGAATATCTTATTTGGGAGAGTAAGTCCTTGCCACCTTTTTTTATTGTAACAACTTTTTATCTTTTTTTTTTTTTTTTGCTAGTCTGCCTGCCTTTGCCTGCTTGCTAGGTGCCTCCTGGAGCTTTTGCAAGTAGCTCGGCTCCTGCAGCAGCCTAGCTGTGGCATCCAGGCTTTTTAACTCCATGCTCGAGACAATGGTGAAGCAGACTCCATCTTGTAATCAGTCCACTACAGCTGGTCTAGTGAAAGGTGTCCCTGCCCATATCAGGGGGGTTGGAACTCGATGGTCTTAAGGTTCCTTCCAACTTAAACCATTCTATGATTCTGGGTTTGGCGCATGTTTGTACCCAATGTCCAGTCCCCAGGGATGGCTCATTATCCACAACTACTTGCAGAAACCTTGTTTAATCATACTCATCATCATTATAAATCACAGCTGGTTTTCTTCATCTTCAAAGCACTTTGCAGAATACATTAACAAATGTGTGCCCAGGAAATTACTGGCCAAGCCTCAGAGCGTTTACAATGCGTTTTATACAAATGCTTTCAGCTTCATCTGGAAACAGTCAAAGGGAAATAATTGTGTTTGTAAAAGGGTCTCACGGTGCTACAATAGGAGCCTGCAAGGAGCAAAATGAGTGTTTTGAATAAAGCTGAATAGTCGCTTTAAAAAAAATAAGGAAGAAAAAGAAGAGGTGGAGAAAGATTTTTTTTCACAAATGCCGTGTCTTTGGCTGGACTCAGGCATATTCTGATCCAGGTGTTCTTGGGTCCATAGGCACTTTCCCAGCATTGCAGAAATGAGCATGACACACAGGTATCTTTGGCCCTGCTGGTGCCAGACCCCTCAGCAGAGTCTTCCCTAGTTTTGACCCTGAGGTCCTTCATATACTTCATATATAACACATTAGCTTGGGTTATAGGACCTGTTATCTCAGTGGTGGGTACCCCTCCAGTAAGGAGAGAGCCTTTTGGGGAAGCTGGCATCCTTCCCCTGGGCAGTACAGGTAGGCAGAGGCAGAAATTAGCCCTAAAAAGGATCAGGAACGGTGACCTTCCATCTGTGACCACAAACAGACCTTCCATCACCCAGCCAGATGTTGATCCCAGATGGCCTCAGTGAGATATCCGTGCCTTGGTCTCACCTTCCTACACAAAGAGGGAATTAGGAGCATCGGTGAGCTCATACCTCCAGGTCAAGCCTGAAAACAGAGACTCAACGTGACGAGTTTGGGGTGCAATGCTGCTCCCCGCACTTCAGCGTGGTCAACAGGAGAAGGGGAGAGCTTTTTTCTCACCGTGCTCATGGCTGTGCAATGTCATCAGCAGCAAGCCGTGCAGTTGCGCTCAGCCCCGGGCTTTGCCCCTGGGTGGCCCGCAGCTTTCTAAGAAGTCGCTCTCCCACCATTGAAAAGCCACTGTGGGGAGGCAAAAAGTGCTTCCACGCCTCAAAGCCTGCCTGGGGAGGGGAGGAGGAGGAATAAATCCCTTGGAAAAAAAAATAAAAAGAGCTCAGAAAGGAGGGAAATATTTCTTTGAAGATAAATCCTACTTTGTGCATTTCAGCATGCCCTGGCTTGGGTCCCTCTCTGCTCCTGGGAATGCCTAAGCAGCTCTTTGTGCCCTGCTGTTAAGCAGAGACGAGGAGATTGGGACACAGCGTGGGGGACCCCCTCTGGCCCCATAGCCCCACCAAGGACTGCACACCACCACAAGCATCATATCTGAGGGAAGACTTTGCCTCTGAGCCAAGAGGGGGAAAGAAAAGAGGTTTGCGGATCGCATACCTCAGCTCAGCAGCTCTGCAGAGCACTATTCAGCCCGGACAAAGGACAGAGGCCCTGGATGGCCACTGCAATGAAGACACCGGCGCTGGCCCTCCCCCAAGCTGTGGGTGTTAAAGTTCAAGCCTTGGAGCAAAACACCCTGCAAGAAGGAAAAGAAAAGGGAGGAAAGGGTGCTTTCCATGTCACCAGCCAGAAATTTTTCCATTTAGTTGACAGTATCCAAATGCATAAGGGCCAGTCCATTTTTGCACCATAAGAATGTGGTTCTACTGTTCCCAGAGAAAAATCCCTTCCAGCTAATTAAACACTACCATATTTCTAAATAAGCCATGTCAGAAAAGTTTGGAACTCATTTCAGAGCAAAAGGATAGTCTGGCACACAAATCTCCTGACCTAACTCAAACTATGGGCTCAGCAGAGCCATCACCCAGAGCCTCAGTTTCCCAATTTAGATTTGTGCCAACAGTGCAACAAGAGCAGCAGATGAGGATTGTGTGGCACATTTGATTTTCATCCATATGAAACATGGAGTTTGTTTAAGCAAGGCAAGAAGATCAGTGTAGACAACCCATGGGCAGACCCTTGATGGACCGTCTCAGGGCCCAGGTCACATAGCCCAGTCAGATCTGCTGGATCAGCACCCATTAGCCCTCACATCCCAGCATCCTGGAGGACAGGAGTGATTTATTTGGATGCAGAGCTTGGAGTGGGTGTTTTCATTCCTCCTTTGGTCTTCCTAGAAGAGCAGTTAGAATCACGGAATCACTAGGATTGGAATAGGTAGGTCCTCTGACATCACCAAGTCCAACTATTAATCCAGCACTGTCAAGCCTACCACTAAACCATGTCCTCAGGTGTCACAGCTACACAGTTTTTCCAGGTGACTCCATCACCTCCCTAGGCATTCTGTTCCAATGCTTGACCATCCTTTCCATGAGGAATTTCTCCTAATATCTAATCTAAACCTCCCCTGATGCAACTTAAGGCCATTTTCTCTCATTCTGTTACTTAGGAGAAGGGACCCACCCTCACCTGACTACAGTTTCCTTTCAGGTAGTTGTAGAGAGCGTTAAGGTCCCACCTCAGTCTCCTTTTCTCCACGCTAAACATCCACTGCCCCCTCAGCCACTCCTCATCAGACTTGTGCACCACCTCCTTTGTTTTCGAGTGGTCACACTGATTGCCCAGCACAGCCAGCAAAGAGATATGGCACAACTCAGCTCATCCAAGAGCAGATGTCTAAATAGGACAGATGAATTCCCTTATACCACCTCCAAAGTGCCAGGGCAAGAACCCAGCCCACAGCAAAAGGCCATTCATCACTTAAACCCAGCAAGCCCATTTCAGCCCTGCCAGCTCAACTTCAAGGAACTTCTGCACCTTTGCATGGAGAGAAGAAGGGCACAACTGCCAGGGGGTTATCTCCCCCTTTCCTGTGGGTCTATCCCTGCTATCATACAAAGACAGCCACAGAAATTTTGCACATGGGGTGACTTAAAGCAGTCATGGAGACCATGGGCAGTCCCATGGGACTGTAAGACATGTAAGACACCAACAGGCAGTAGTTCCCAACCCCTCAGTGCCTCTTTCTCACAGAAGAGCCAAAAAATAAACCCTCCCACCCTCAAACAGCATTCATGATGAATTGCAGAGGAATAAGGGACATCATCAGCTTTGTAGCAGGTTGCCAACTGGCAGCAGGGAGGGAAGGAAGAGGTCACAACAATAAAGTACTAAGATGAGGGCAGGAAAATCTAGGGAATGGAGAAGGTAAAAGGATTAACATCATTCACCTGCATTTCTTGCAAGAATTGGGTTTTGCTCAACCAAAACATTCTTAAAAGCTTTGCAGGCAAAGAGAGCACTTAAGAGGCACCATGACCCCACAGAACCTCTCTGACAGCTTTAAGGCATGAATCAATTAAAGCAATCATGGAGCAAAGGTTAATCAGTAGCAAGTACATCTTAAGAAATAAGTAGTCTTTTAAAAAGCAACAGCTTTTGCCAATTCCCCCCTCCCCATTTTCTAAAGTGTCTTTCATTTCTCCAGCTCTGGAGACCTTCCAAACTAAGGTCAGTGATTAAGAGCAGCTGCCGAAAGGACCAGACTGGAATGGTGGCGGCAGCCGGGGCTGCGGCAGCAGAGAGGACCGGACCTGTAATTGTCACTGAGGCTCAGTGCTGTACAAATGTCTCGGGGATTGAAAACCATCCAGGGGCTTCCAGCCTAATTGGAGCAGATGGAAGCTGGAGAAACAAGGAATTGCTCACAGTTGCACTGGAGAACAGAGGAAATGAAGCAGGAGAGTAAGGCAAGGACTGACTCTAAAGCATTTCTGCACAAGCAATGAGACTCCAGCCTGAGTGTGTGGGCATAAAGTGATGCTTCGAGCTGCTCCCATCCCGTGCCCTGCTTGCAGATATGTGCTTCTTTCTTCTTGCACCCAACATTGGAGCTGACGTCAAAACGGCCCCCATGTGCAGCAGCCACAACCTCATTCACACATGTACACACACCCCCACCCCACCCTGCCCTATTTCCCTGCCTGCTGCTATTATAGCGCACCACCATCACAGTTAACTTCTTACTCTGTCACCTTTCCATGCAACTGTTGACGAAAGAAAAGAGCTGGTACACTGTGGTGGCCCCAAGAGGCTTCTTTTAGCACCAGACCTACAGAGGATGAGTCCCGGGACAGGGTTTCTCATCTCTCTCTCTTGCTACTGCATTGTGGATTCACATAGATTACAACTGCCCAACCATCAGAAAGGACCCGGGCCAGGAGGATGGAGAGTCAAGCCTGACCCTGAGAGCAGGTTCTCATCATGTCCCATGTTCCCTGGGGACACCACAAAGACTGGCAAGGCAAACAGTGACAGAATAGGACCAATATGAGACCAGGACATGGGTGTATTCATAAAATCAACGAATCACAGAATGGACCTTCAAGTTCAACTGTCCCTGCCCATGGCAGGGAGCCATGGGCAGGGACATCTTCCTGTTCAATCCACTAAATTCCACTGCTTCTTCTTCTTCCCTCCTGTTTTCCTGGAGACGGCAAAAAGTACAGCAAATGCCAATGTCCTGCTGGTGAGGAGAATTACAGGGAACATGACCCACAGACAGCCTCCTTTTACTGGGATTTTATAAAATGCCAAGCCCTCAGCCACCAAAAATGAGCCAGCTGTGGGTCCTCCTTTGAATGCTGCTGGAAAAGCAGTGTCCAGCAAGTAAAGACCAGGATGAGGACAAGGTGATGAATAGATGAGCACCTGCAAGTAGGCTGCTCAGCTCCCTCACACAATGTGTCCGTAGCTGGAGCAGAGGTTGCAATGTGGAGCCAAGACTGTTTACCCTCAGGACTCATCCTGCCATGAAGGCATGGTCCAGACTCCATCACAAATTATGTCTCCATGCTGCTCTACCCAAACCAGCTCCTTTCTTTCCTTTCAGTAAGACCCGGAACCCAAAGGATCTTCCCAACTTTTTATCCTACCTGCTCATCAAAAACATAGCCCAAGACCCCTTTTTGTTGCACGCCACAGGGTGTCTCTGGGGCAGTTCTACAAACCAAAACATAGGAGATCATTCCAAGATGAGGTACAGACCCCTTCCTGCAAAATATCCCGAGACATGGAATCAGGTTTGGACTGAAGCCAGGCTATTGCTGCACATGTGCATGGTGTTGCAGTCTACAGGGAATAACCACCCCAGAGCTTCCTGCAGCCTCCCGTCCCCCATGCAAAGCCACCAAGCTGGGGCTGTGCCACTGAGCAGGATCTGCTCCAGAGTGGAGCACATGTGTCTCAGCTGATGGGTGGTAACTCAGAAAGGTTTGCCAGAAGGAGGGCTTCTGGCCTTCCACACTGCAAGGAAACGAAGAGCACACTGTCAAACTGCCACAGGCTTCTAAAAAAAACCAAAAAACAAAACCAAACAAAACAAAAAATCTGAAACAACTTTCTCTTTCTTCTTTATTTTGGCTGATACTTTATCACACTAAGCAAAGCTGCACAGTAACAACTTTCACAGAGGTACCTTTTGAGATGTAGGCAGTCTCACAACAAGCTACAATCACCAAATTTAAAAAACTATATTTTCATTACAAGTGATATATAAAGCTCAAAAGACACCATTTGGTCACCTCCTTGGTCCAGTGTCATGGAATAAGGAAGTCACAAAACTGGTCGTGAGAACAAGCTTTGTGTTTGTACTCTCTGCAAGGATTTCAAATTGCCCTGAAAATCTTGCACACCTTTTAAACATTTCAATAGCAAAGTTAGAAAAGAAGCAACAGCTTTGGCTCCCTTCACATTCAGAACATTTTTTAATTAAAATCCAGCTGGTGTCATGGTACATTATGCCTTTTTTTGTTGTTAAATGCAGCTTAAAAGCCCTGAGAAGCTGTAGGAAATTATTTCTGGTCTCTCTTGTCCTTCTACCTGGTGTCACCTCTTAGGATTTATCAGGGGATAAGTCCTGAGACGTGCTACATTGTGAGGTCAAGATTCCCAAAGAAAGTGTAGAAGTGAAGAGAAGGTCATGTGCACTAGTGGGTGGACCTCCAGCTAATCAAAGTTTGGACTTCGCAACTCAAAGTTGGCCCAGTGCCGGTCCCCAGGTTCATATCAGCTGAGTGCCTGATCCTGAATTAAAATTCACTCTTTCCTAGAAGTGAAAATTCCCCTGTTTCATTGCTAACTGTGGTTACACCTACAGATAATGTGGAAGCATTTGGACAACAACAGCATACTAAAGCCAGGGCCAAATCCTGCTTTCAGGTGCGAACCGAACTGCTCTCCAAACAGTTGCCCATCACAACTCTCAGCGTGATGTGCAGCGGCGGGGCAGATGGTGGACCACAGTGTTGCTTCCAGCCTTTCTAACCAGGTCCTGATTATTTACAGCTGTTCCCAGATGTTACCCTTTCACGGGTTATTTGTTATCGAGTCAACCTCCCCGTTCACACGCTAGGCGAGTTCAGAGGAAGAAAGAGAGAGGCTCCTTTCTCCCTTTTACTATGGAAACAGCCCTTTATCCCAAGAATTGCAAATGCTCAGCCGACATTTCCCTTCTCACTGCCCCGGCTACAGCGACCCCACCAGCCACCCACCGCTCACGGCTCATCCCAGCTCCCGTTTCTCCTCTTAACAGGTCACAGCCAACTTATCCAGCACGGACCCCAAGTGAAGCAGAACTGCCGAGCACCTTCTCCTCCGCAGCAAAACACCAGAAACCTCCCTGCTCACAAATCACCCCCTTCCCTCCCTTTTTGTTACCGTTTCTCCCTATTCTCCAGCTCCCTGTGCTTTGTTTCTCACTGCAACCCAGGCGAGAGCCGGATCAATCACCCGCTGCCACATCCCAACAAACACACTCAAAAGTCCAAAGATAACAAAGGAAAAGTGATAGAAATCCCTCCACCTCGGTGATAACTTTCAAGGCAAGCAGGAAAGAGCAGGCAGAGATGAAGTTCAGCAGGCAGGAGCATCTTTGAGAGTTAGGAGAGGAGAAGTAGCTTACCTTGCCGTGACGCACATGGAGGGGTTATTTTTGTTTTCCGCTGCACTTGGATTGCTGTGTCCTTTGCTTGTGACACTCCGGGACTCGAATGGTGGCACCGCTGTGTGACACCCGGTATTAGGGAGGCTGCTGGAGCCGTCCCTCCCACGGTAGGAGGGGCCATGAGAGGCTTAATAAATTCAGTCCCCAAGGCTAGAAAAATTAAAATCTCATCATGGGACACAGGCAGCTCCTCGCTGCATTGCTCCAGGAGACGCCAGGGACTTGGAGACGAACCTGGGATTGGCTGATTTATCCCTCACCCACCCAGAACAGGAGAGGCTGGTGTTCACATCCCACCTTGGCAGAATTAGGTGTCCAGAGGATGGGATTTGAGGAAGTATCCCAAAGAATATTTGGGAAAGATGTGTCATCGTTGACCCTCAGAATTAAAGCTCCTGAACCTCCTTCATGAAAATATTTTCCACAGCTCTAAGCCCCAGGCAGAAATCCACTGCAGCAGATTTGTGGGCAACCCCGGTGCAAAACCTGCTTATTTTACTTATTTTTTTACATGGTTTTGGCCTTTAATATCTAAATCCTATTAGAGTTATAACTTCCTTTTAGGGGGGAGAGGGGATAGGTCAGTACAACAAAAGCAGGTTGTGTTTTGTAACCTCCAATGCACCCTGGACTTTCAGAGAGGCAAAATCCCACCATAAAGTTTCTCAGGATAGGAAACTGTACAACCTCATGCAGCTCCTCCTGCTCCACAGAAGTTCTTCACTACACGAAAGGCTAAAAAAACATTCCCTCCAGCTTCAGAGGACTCTCTGAAACACCACTGGTGCAGTTTTTTCATCCCTGTGGTTTCTCACATTGAGTTTTTTCTTGTTAGATGAAAAGACAGACCAGGGGGTCCCTCTAAAGTAAAATCAGCAGACTGCTCTTGGAAACAGAGAGAGCAAGAACAGGTCAGAAATAATGGCCCAGCAGTTTTTGAGAAAGAGAAACTTTTAATTAGAAGATGAGCTACAGAAATGACAGCCTGGTTCACTCTGAAACCTAATGATGAGCAGAAGGCATATAAGAGTTCCTTTAAGACAGTCTTGCTAATCCTTACTTTACACTAGGTCCTAAAATAACATCACTCCCCCTTTGGAATTGGGAGAATTGGAATAGGAATTGGAATTGGAATTAAATGCAGGAACCACAAGACATGGAGGTAAAAGCAGCTGTTTTTATTGCTGGTTTCCCAGCTAACACTTAGCTGGCTGGAGTAAAAATGACTGTGTGTCAGCCTCGACAGCCTCTAGAAATATTAGTTGCTTTTTGGTCTGATTCCTGGAAATCTGATAAATAAGGCAGGAAAGGGTGAGATTAAGAAGGCTGGTGGCACTAATGAGATTTAGGAAGCAGCAGCTTTTCCAGGTACCCTGCAGTCTTAATCTCCTGAGTTGATCCACTGGATTTTTCTTCTTATGTATTTGTGGCCATGTTGAGCTCAGCTTCATCACGAGGCCACACTAAGGTCCTGAAGGTCCATACTCAGGGAAGAGACAGCATGGGGATGGCCTGGAAGATTTGAGGAGGAGTGGAGAGCCCAGAAGGCATGAGCACTTTGCTCTGCCTTTGAAGCCAGTAGTAGGGTTAAGACTCCCAAAAAAAACTTTTGAAGGGGCTTCACCATCATCCCTACCCAGGCTGCTGTTCTTCCAGCTGCTGCATCCTCATGC